GGGGCACAGCTGTGTTCCTGTCCAGGTAGCACTGCCTCAACACGGGGCTGGGGTCACTGACAGACTGTGATTGACTCGTGTTGTACTCATGAGAAATGGCCGTTGCCCCCTGTATGTGCCTTGTGGTTTCCATGCAGTGACCCCATCAAATGTACTCACCTTGCCCTGTGGAATAAAAGCAGCACCAGGAGAAGGAAGGGCACTTCCAGGGAGAGGCAGAGCTCAGTTTTGTGCTAATTTGACCTCAAAGGCTTTTCTCTATCAAGAAATGTGTCAAATTTCTTCAAAAAGGAGGGTGAAAGAGACCTTAAAGGAAAAGGGTCTCAAACCTTCCCCATCTCCTTGACTTTCCCCTATACCCACACCTCTTGCAGAAAGACCCAACCCTTTCCTCTTGCAATACCTCTCTATGTTAGGCGTTCGCCTCTGGCGAGCAGGAGGGATTATGAGAGATGGTTTAATAGTGCTCTCTTTGGTGCATTCTGGACACAAAGAGGCATCCTATTGAATCTCTTGTCTAGATTTGGGTTTGCTACCCTTTAAGCATTACCTTGTGGCATTGCTGTAGTTGGTTGTTTGGCGTGAACACGCATCCAGGGAAACTGGCTTCGGGAATGACCCAGGAGGGGCAGGATTGATGCTGAATGCCTCAGAGCAGTGATTTGTTAGCTTATAGTTCTTATAGTCCTTATATTGCTAGGACAGCGGGGGTTTCATGCTGATAAAAGCAGGTTTCACCTTCAGCTGGGCCACAGGTGAAAATACTTTGCATCAGGCTGAAATATTCCTGCACCATTGGAAAAGAGCAGGATCCTGCCGACTGTTCCTGTTGGGTTGGCTCCCTTTGGAACCATAGATTGGAAATTCAGTGGTGATTGCCTTGTGGCAAGCTTTGAGATGTCAACTGTAGGAAGCACTGGCAAACTGTATCCACACAGCAGCTTCCACCTGCACCAAAGGGAAGTGCACGTTGTAGCTGAGGACAGAACTGGATTGCTAAACTCAACTCTATGAGCCCAGGCTCACTCTAGAGCGATGGGATATGTTGTATTTTAGCACATATTCAATGGATTAAGGGTCATGAATGGGTTTCTGAAGTGGCTTACATGGAGCAGCATCCTTTGCTTGTCAGGCTGGAGTAACTCTGGGTTTGGCAGCTCTTGGGTCAATGTTCAAGCCAAGGAGCTTCAAAAAGCCTTTTTGTCACTTGAGAGTGAAAGGGACAGTGAGGGTTCCAAGTGATGCCTGCTCTGAACCCCCAAACTATCTTCACAGGACCAGGAAACTCTCCCAAGAGGCAGGAGACCAGAATCCCCACTGAAAGCCTTCCTCTAGGCCTGTGATTCCGCACTGTGGAATGGAGCTTGCTTCCCAGGGTCTAGGTTGGTTTGGTAGGAGACTGAGGTCTGACAATCCAGGCCCCTTCAGAAGTGTTCCCAGCTCCATTCCCAAAGGATTTAATGAAAATGCAGCTGTTTGGCCTCTAGCAGCCAAACAGGAAGGAGTCATTCCTCAAGGATTGAAAGACATTGTTTGTGCCAGTTAAAACTGATGTGTCAGTACCAAAGGGGCCCTAGCAGAGAATGTCCTGTTATAGCAGCTACTAAACTCTGGTTATTAAGTGAGATTTTGTATGATATGGTTCTAATACAACTGTGCAAACATCTAATTCTAATGCACCTGCCTTACTTAAAAAACACCTGTGTGTGTATATATATTTCATATATATATATATATATACATATATATGTATTTCCTATATATATGTATTTCCATTTGCAAAGAGCCACAACAGCCAGGAAAGGAAGGGGGGAAAAATGCCATAAACCCTTTTGAAATCGAACTTAAAGCCACACAATAAGGAAGGTTTGGCTCTTTCTGCTTCACTATTCTATCAATACAGCAGCAAATTAACAAGCTCATAAATCCCACCCTTGCAAGACACCAGAGCAGGCAAAAAGGGGTAAATTAGCTGGAATCTTAGCTTATTCTCTATGCTGTTGTAGTCAGCTGGCTGGTATTCCCCAGGTCATGTGCAACTGAGTATGTTTGCCCTAATTATAACTGAGCATCCTGGGATTTGTGTAAGCTGTGGTCATTCCAGCAACTTATTATTACCCATATTCAATGGGAACAGATCCGGTTGCTCTGCATCAGAACAGTTAAACACAGTCTGGGGGGTTATTGTTTGGAAAGCCTCTGTTCTACCTCCTTTTGTTTCAGCTGCAGCTATCACATCTAACATGCAGGGTGCTTTAGACAAAGAGCTATTGTTTAATGCTCCTTCTTGTTGACTGACTTCATTCCATGTTATTGATGTAGGAGAGACGCTTTCTGTTGGAACAGTCAAGTGGAGCATGGCTGTTTGCTGGCTGCCTCAGTGGGATTGAGGAGGTTCAGCTGTTACAGAAGCAAACCCCACGTTTGCCAACAGCAGCTCACCTCCAGGATCTCTTTTTGCAGTGGTTTACTTGGCTCTTTGCAGATGGAGCGGGCAACTCAAGCATGGATTTGCATTCAAATGCCACAGTATGCATTACAAGACTTAGGAAGGTGTCTGGGGTAGCCTCATGGAAGGGATAGATAACAGAACTTCCTCCCTTCAGAATGGGATTCTCTTAAGTGACTCTTGAGGAGGTGTGTAATGTAGTAGTGTAGTGATGTGTAGTACAGTAACCCATGTGAACTACCCGCTAATGTACCTAACAGTGGGACCGATGCAGGTGTCCTAACCTGGGATGGGGTTCTATTTGCAACAATGATTTACTTCTCATTGCACCACAGTTTGTTCTAGCTCTTTTTCACCTTGTTTTTCACCATCTTCACACTGAGTGCAGACCTGCTGGTCCAACGGCTCTTGTGCTGATGAGCATTTGGGAATGCCTTCTCCTTAGTGCAGTTCTGAAGCCACCAGTGCAAGCAGGAAGGGGATTTTCAGTCTTGTTGCTTTAGCAAATTAAACCAGGAGTGAGTTCCTTTTCCTCAGGAATTCAGCCCTTTCTGACCTGGAGTTATCTGGAACCAAACAAAAACTGCTCTTCTCTTCCTTTTCGCTGCACCCTTTGCATCCCTCAGTGTTTGCCGAGTTGGAAGCACTTTCTTGTTGTACCCTATCACTAATTAAACTGGGTTTGGTTCAGGAACTGGGCAGGTAAAGGAGGAGATGGGTGGAGGGAGCAAATGACAAACACCATCCTGGAGCCTCGGGGCTGAGGAAGGTTTAGCTCTCAGCAGTGTCTGCAAACAGAGATTTCCAATGGGATTCAGAATGCACTGGAAGGAATGTTTGTCAGGTCTTGTCTTTTCCAAGGGTATGAAATGCCAATGCAGAGTGAGTAAATTGTAGTAATCCATGCAGTTGTTTAGAGGACCAGGTGTACTTGTTAATGCATATGAGTCAATATAAAACACATGCAAAACTCTTGTGAACATTAAGAGGCTTCAAATGCTCTTAGCATTGGAATATTCATGGTTTCTTTGTAATAACCATGCTCAGCAAGATCTTTGGCCTCCCCAAACAGAAATCTGATTGAAAGATGACTGAAGGAATCAGCAAATATGAATTGCTAATAAAATATAGATAAAGCTTAAATGGTTGGAGGTACTGGAAGAAAGGTAAGAGCTATCTCCCCGAGTCCACAAACCTATGGTGCTTCCTGGGTTTTGCACTTCCCCACACTTTAACCTGCAGCAGCAGCTAGGGCAGAAGGTTGGCTGTAATTGCCCATACCTCAAATAGCATTTACCAGTTCACACCTGTGATTCACTAGGTAGCAATATGAATAACACCACTCCTGGGTAAGTGACAGCTCTGAAGGTTTATGGGGAGGGGGAGGCTGGTGGTAAGAGGCAGGAATACCTGACCTGTACAAGTATTTTGGGGTAACTCTAGAGGACATCCTTGTTTCCACCTCTCCCTAATGAAGAGCATTTGGCAATCACTGCAGTCACAAACTACAGGTGGGATTCTCCCCCTACCCCTTCTTTTCTTTCCTACTCCACACAGTCAGGCTTTCTAGCTTGTGGTATCTCTGCTGTTTGTAGCCCATGACCCTGAGATGCCATTACCATCTTACTGGGCAGCATTGGATGTTTTCAGTGTTTCTAATACTGCCTGGTAATGATGATGATGGTGTTTCGTGTACAACGTGGAAAAGCTCAACAGCGAGTTTGGAAGCAGGTCAGTGGCCAAGAGAGAAACCAGGCAAACCTCCCCCCAAGCATAAGTAAATGGACTGTGAAATGCTTTGGGTTCTAGAATAAAGGGTAAAAGCCAACCAGAAGGAAACGTTGGCCTCATTCTAATGTTAGAGTGAGCCTGTAAATAGGCAACTGCAGAACGTGGCACAGGTTTGGTGCTGCAGTGATAGGGTGTGTTCAGATGAGAACGCTTTGTAGGGGTGAGCTGAAAGCAGGCACCCTGCTCCAAACACGTTCTTTTTCCTTCCTTTCAAACCATGGTGGCTTTGCAGAGAGCGAGAGCAAACAGGTCTTGAAATGTAACACTCGGGTTTCCTTCGTCGTCGTTGTCTCTCCAACTCAAGATGTTCTTTGTCAGCTAAAGAGAACTCAGGAACCTGGCTGCCAGAATCAAACATGGGGTTTGCTCTTTCAGCTTTGCTGCTGTAACTCACTCTATCCCTTTCACAGCAGCTCCTCTGGAGCTCTCTAGTGCAATGTTCTCACAGCAAAACCATTCAGATTAGATCTTTGAACTGTCATGTAATGCATACACCTTTATTGTTATACACTTTTACATCCATTTGTCACTGCTTGAGTGAGACTTAACTCCCATTCCCTTGGATTGTGCTCATTACTTTAGTGGCCTAATGATGCATTTTAAGCTATGATGGGCTTTGTTCTTATTCTATGAGATTTCTTGCTCTGCATCAATGGTACTACTTAAAGTGACCTTGAAAGAACTAGCCCAGTCTAAACGGACTTAGTGGAGGGGAGAATGCTGTTTTATATGGCTTAGGGAGGCTTTTTGTTCTTTACAGTGAATTAAAACAACACAGGAAGTTGTACTTCCCAGTTATCGGATGTGAAAGAATGATTTATAACAGCTCTCACTGAGAAAGGGGATTATTGCTGGTTTTATCTGACACAGCTTAAGGGGCAGGTGGTTCAGTGTACCTGGCAGGTGTGAAGCAGCAAAAGGCACCAGCATCCTCCTCCTGTCACCCCCCTTGCCCTGGGCTCTCTTACTGATCTATGGGGTGCTGGGGTTTTAATTACTTGCACTGAGAAGGTCGGTTGTTTCCTTGAGCCCTCTTCTGAAGCATCAGCTGAATGATTCACTGGGGTGGAGCGTGGATGAAATGTACTCCTTTGTCATTTACTTTGATAGAGAGGTTGTATATCTGCTGTGCTGGAGCCACAAAGCCTGTGAGTACCTTATGGCTATGCTAAATATTACATGCAGTATAGCATTACCTACACGGTATAGCTCAGATCAGAGCTCTCTTAAGCTGTCACGAATTGAGAGGCCATTGCTACCCCGAGAGATAAGACTCACACTAAGGGGTGAAGGAAGACCAAGGAAATGCTGCTGCCTCCTTCCTGGGTGATGCAGCAGGTCAGTAACCCCCAGTCCTTGGAGTTAACAACAGCCCCACTTAGAACAGCACAGAGCTCTTACCAAGGGAACCGCTCCAGGGTGGGCAGCCTGCGCTATGATTTCTACCTTCTATTGCATGAGGTGCTCCAGCAAACTTCCTCTTCTTCTGAAAAGCACAAACCAGACAGATAGCTTATCATCGTTATCATTAGCATTCACTGTGCTTAATTACATTACTAATAACTACACCAAAGTCTCCTGCCACTGTCACTTCTATTTAAGACTCAAATTTGTCTGCATCCCTGCAACTGAAGCCAATACAATAAAGGATTTGTTGCAAAAGCAGCTGTGTTTAATGCTAGGCCACCTCCATCCCTTTTCTGTGCCCTCCTCAGTACTGTTTTCCTTATTGACCAGCTTCAGTACGTCTTTTCAAGTGTCTAACAAGACCTGAATTAGTATGGTTGTGAGTCAAAAGGGAGGAGGGAGGGAGAAAGCCAAGAAACAAACCCCAAGCAGTCTTACTGGTGTTAAATCCTGTTGAAAGAGAACTTAACCTTTTGTTTCCATTTTAGATCTTTATTAAATCAACTTTTTCTACTACCTCTGTAGAAATGCACCATGATTTTGAACCTGTCCTTTAAATGTCTTCCTTCTGCCCACCACCTATTTCCCCACCCCAGGGTATAAGGCAATCCTCCTCAAGCCATTTCTATTAGTTATTATGGAACACTGACAGCCTGAAGAATATGGACTCATTAATAACTGCTTCATTTCTCCAGCTGCTGGACAGACTGTGGTCCTCTGTGGGCATCTTACTAGACAGTGCTGGATTTTCTGGATCTACTCTAACACTGTCTGGTAACGATGTTTAAAGGGTGAACCAAACACCACCATGCATCAGGAGGAGCTCTCACTCAAAGACATTGTACCACAATGTAGGCCAAAGTGGAACACTTGGACAAGAGGGTAAGGATGATGGCTATCACTTTAACAGGTATTTTTAGATGTAGTGAAAACATTGCTGGAAACCACTCTGGTGGATGCTGAGCCTTGATGTTGCTGTGAAGGAGGTGAGACAGGCCATGCCTACCATACAAAGGGTGTATCTTCTGAGGCACAGGCATGCTTTCTTCTCTCCTCACAGTGGTTAGAGCTGTGATGCAGCCACATGGCACAGCCGTTGCCCAGGAGGCTGCAGGATTTACTTGCCATGCCTGGCTGTGAAAGGTGGTTAGGGCAAGATGCTGGTTGCAAAGGTCACTCTTCCCAATTACACTTCAATTACACCTCCATGGTTGAACGGCCTATGAACTTCCAACCGTGTAACCCACCCCATCATAGGCAGTGGAACAGGTGGGTTAATCACTCCCATCATTCCATTAAGAAACAAAGGAATTTAACCCAGGCAAGGAACAACTGAGTGCTGACCCTGCTCTGCTTACCAAGCAGAGAACAAGAGCTGCTGCTGCCTCACTCTGTGTAGCAACTCGGGTAGAAGTACACCACTGCACTGAGCGTGAGAATGGATGAGGTCTGGATGAGAAGCTGGGCCTGCTTAAGGATTAAGTACACTCAGATGACCTAGAGGTCTGATTTAAACAAGTTTCCTGGCATGACATAGGAACAAGTGCTTGAGGAGACCTTTCCTTACTGTAAGAGTATTATCTTAGTGACCTAGAACATTGTGTTTGAGCCAGAAAGTCCAGCTCCATCTGCTTCAGTAAAAAAGCATTGCAAATGTTAACATTGCCGTGTTGAAGATCTGTTCTGCAAGCAGATCCTGCGATCACCCAATAGCTAAAACTAAGCAGGTATTTGCAGGCCAAATATGGGGACTAAATTAGGTGCCAGTCTTGCCTTCCTCTAGTGCCATATTCATGCCTCCTGCCTGATCTACACAGACACGTTCAGCGGCAGCTTTTGCTTACCCTGCAGGTCCTCCCTAGTCCTTGACAGATTAATCCAGGTCAGTACTTCTTTACTTTGCAGACAACCTGCAGAGGATGCAAATTCATGTCAGAAGTCATTAGCAGTTCACTTTACAAGCTGAGATTCAGCCTTACACAAGGAGCCTCCATACTACCTGCACTTCTGAAAGACTCTTGGGATGGGGCACAGCCCTTGTACTGATGCCTCAGTCTTGTCCCCATTGGTTTTCAGCTCCTTCCTCTGAGAGATACAAGGCAATGTTACACACGCACTCTGACCACAAATTCCTCTTTAAATATATTCCAAGTATTGATTTGTGTCTTCCTCATCCTCAATGGAGTGTTAATCCCCTTCCTTGCTCCAAAACAGAACTGGGATAGAAACACAGTGGTACCCAAGCAAATTCTGCGTTCTCTGCCTTTGCCACTGGAACTCTCTCCCTGTTTTTCCAATTCCTTGCAGCAAGCTGGGTGTTTCCTTCCCAAAACTACCAGGTAATCCAGGAAGAGTGGGAAAAACAAACTGATTTGTGTATAACTTCACCCTGCTGCCACTACAATGTGGACAGCTTGAAAGGCGCTGACTGTGCTTGCTTTAACTCCATGGGCTGACTCACTGCTACAAGCTCGGTGTTGTGCTTGCCCTTGCAGGTTGTGATTCCCAGGGCGAGAGAAGGAAGCAGCAGAGGAGGCTCTCTGGTGATTAGCCTCTGTGTTAATGAGTAACTGGCTCACAGGGGATTGAGGAAATGGTGTGAAATTTGAGTGACTCTGCAAATTGGCTTTTAACAAGCATCGCAGTAAGATGGATTGGAGCGCACACCTACCTCCCGGCTCTGCTTAGCACAAAGTGTGGGTCCTAACCTTGGATGGAGCTGAGTAAATAAATGTATAACCAACAAACAGCTCTAATGGGGCATCCAGGGCAGGGACAGGAATGTGGCCTTAAAACCAAAGACACAGAGACCAGGGAAATCCCTCTGCCCGCCCCCGTGGTGATGTATGCTTAGGAAAGTGTCCCTTCAATCCTGCCTCGGACAGAGACAGTCATGAGAGCCAGGGGCAACCCAGAAAACCCCCTTCTGCCTCCATATCTTTCCCTCCCCTTCTCCTGCTGATTTTCATCTCCCTTCAATTGGTTTCACAAGAGAGCAATTCCACAGGCAGGATTCTTGGGATGGTTTCATTGCTGCCTGAGGCCTGGGCTGCATCAGATTCATTCTAAAGCAGTTGTCTCACTGAGGGGAGTTTGACCATGGGTGAGGGCAGGTTGTTCAGCTGACACCCATGTGCATCCACAGTCCTGCTGTGCTGCTGCTGCTGGAGCTGCTCCAGGCACGGGCATGGTGAGCAATTTCACAGCCAGATGGATGCAGTGGCCAGAGCTGTCGGTAAGTTCTCTACAATTCTTTTCAACTCCTATAGCAGTGAACTGGAACTGGTTGTGTTTTATAATGGTACTGCTTCATAAGCAAGCAAGTTAAACATTTACTGGTTATCGCTTTGTCTAAGGGAAAGGCCCTCAGCCTTTCCCTGCCCTATCTTTCTAGTCCTGGATTTAATGGTGTTTTCCTTTAGCCCGAGTGAGTGCCTGCTGATTGCTGTCTTACCAGGCAAAGTTAGATCTAGCTATCTGTGTCTAATACTGTCTGGTAATGCCGTCAATCGCATCGGCAGAAAGCTTCGTCTTGACCCAGAGATGGAGAGGAAAGCTCGCCTCGGTCCCAAGAATGGACTAGATGATCTTTTGAGGTCCCTTCCAATCTCCAGCATACTGTAATGGATGAAGCCTGATGTCTGGGCCTTCCCACTGGAGTTTCGGCTTATGCTGAAGGCTTACTCAACTGCACTGTCTTGTTCACACCCAAGCATGGATTGTAACGCCTGCAGAGGTAGAAAGAGACATGAAGAAAGTCAAGAGAGTATCAGCTTGTAGGTAGGTCAAGATATGTTTTCTGAGCAACCTTTGGATCTATTGTCAGACTGGCCTGAAATGCGATGGGTGCAGGCACAGCCACCTCAGCTCTCAGTTTAAATAGCTGCTTCTGTTTGGAAATGATGCATTAAATGAGCAAAACTCAGCAATAGCTCATTGCACCCTGTAAATAAAGTCTGCTTTATTCTTACACTGACAGAAAAGTACTTTTAAAGGTACCTTATAAAATACAAGGGTTTGCAAAGCCCTCACTTCAGCAGATCTTCTATGTGAGATGTGATTAGTCAAGCCGCACAATAAGAAAGGTGCTCTGATTCCCCCCACCTGGCTATCAGCTTTTACCCTTCCTCTATGGAGAAGCAGCAACAGCCTATGCCAGTTGATTCCTTAGTACAGCACCCCTGCTTGTGCAGTGTAAGAGCAATGAGAGGGAGTAGCACCACAGAATGTATCCCTGACCTCAACTGCTGAGCACCCTGTGCCTCAAGGCATGAGAATGGAGACAGCAAAGTTCTCTCCACGGAGTCTCACTGAACTGCCAGGAATTTCCCTGTTAGGAAATGGCCCTGCTCAGAGGATGAAGATGCTGTGAATGCCCTGGTTAAAGTGACTCACGCTGGCAAGTCTCACTCTGCAGGGTACAAATGGCATTCCTTTGCATAGTACAGTCACCTTATGGAAACCTGTTACCTCTTCTGGTACACAACAGTGCCTCACCAAGGTATTAGTGTTCTACAATTCATACTTTTACCTGTGCTATCCCTGAACTTCAGCTGTTGGATTCCTTGGCTTTCTTTCCTCCATAAGCCTTTCTTGGTCCAACACTTACCCTCTGGATTTCACAGAAGCTGCAGTCTCTTACTGGAAGCCTCCCTGTTTCTATCCCTGTCTTCATAAAGATGCTCAGGATGACGTTCAAGGCTGGGTTTGAGTTATGGTGTTTCCTAAATGAAACAAATTTGACCCTTTCAGCAGCACTCCCCTTTCCTAATTACCTTGAAATGAAGGGAAAACAAGAACTCCACCTCTCTCGCCACAATGTGTTCTTGGGTCCATTGGTAATAAACCAAACCCCATGAGGTGCCCCGAGCAGTCGGTTCTGAAGGGTAGGTATGCACAGAACACCCTCAGAGAAGGCACAGGGATGAAGATGTGACTCCGGTCCCTAAGTCTGTGCTCACAGATCCTGGTACCAGGAGCTTGCTCTAATTGTTCTGATTAATGTCACTGCCTTTATCACTAGAACCCCCCCGTGGATAAACACACCCATAAAGACTGGTTTCTTTGAATATTGTAGAGATACATTTTTATCTCTTACATGGTATTTAATGTGCTGTTTCACTGCCTTAGAGCTCCTGTTACTCATTTTAGGCATTTTAGTTGTATATTCAATAAACTATGGCTCTTAACCCAGCTCTGAGTTGAATTTCTTTCAAAGCAATACAGATTTCTGTGCATTTAATCCAGGAGAACTCCTTCCCCAATGCTTGAATGCAGTCAAATAATTCCTGCCCAAGAGCAGTAACTGCTTCTCAGGAGAGCTCTGTATGAGATACAAGCTGGCTCCTTAGAGTGTTCTCAACTACTTTGGGTGTAATCTGGCACTGATACAGTTGTGTGCCTCTAATTTGTGACCAGCTATAAGGGCTCACAGCTCTGTGAAGCTGGACAGGGGTTTGAGGCAATGCAGATGAAACGTTGCCTTCTCCTCATCCCACTCACCAAGTCCTGGCCAGCCACATGAGACTGAAGCCACCCCAGCAATGTTTCAGCAAGTTATACACTGAAATAGCCTTGATTTCCAAACAAAGGGGAGAATTCCTCAATGAGAAACCCCTTTATCCAGATAATATGGTGCTGACACAAGCCAGGAGCTAATGTGTCTCACCGAACACAAGCAAACTGTCCCTTACAGCTCCTTCACAAATGTATATATTTGTGAAGACTGCAGATCATAAGAGGGTATGTGTGTATATATAGATAGAATCACAGAACAGTTCGGGTTGGAAAGGACCTTAAGATCAACCAGTTCCAACCCCCTGCCACGGGCAGGGACACCTCACACTAAACCATGGCACCCAAGGCTTCATACAACCTGGCCTTGAACACTGCCAGGGATGGAGCATTCACAACCTCCCTGGGCAACCCATTCCAGTGCCTCACCACCCTCACAGGAAAGAATTTCCTCCTTAGATCCAATCTAAACTTCCCCTCTTTCAGTTTGAACCCGTTCCCCCTTGTCCTGTCACTATGGTCCCTAATGAAGAGTCCCTCCCCAGCATCCCTATAGGCCCCCTTCAGATACTGGAAGGCTGCTCTGAGGTCTCCAGGCAGCCTTCTCTTCTCCAGGCTGAACAGCCCCAGTTCTCTCAGCCTATCAAGATACATATATAACTATATATATAAATATATATATATTTATATATATATATAACGTTACTTGTCCTCCTGATCTGTAGTCTGGACTAAGCCAAGGAGACTTTTGACTTCATCACCCTCTTATGATCCTTGAACTAGGGAAGTCAGACCCACCTGCACAAAGGGGGAGAGACCCTAAGCCAAATCCCCCTCTGAAGAAGGCAGTGGGAAAGCAAGAACACCTGACTCGATCAACCCCACTGTTCCTCTGATTGACAAGGGGACACCGTGGGCAGGTTATCTGAGCTGAGCAGCAAACAGAAAGCTGTACTGCTGTTGGAACCGCCTGGGCTCAGACAAGGTGCAGACTGAAGCAATCTGTTTCCTCCCAGCACAATTACATCTTGCTTTGTTGATAAAGGACTTATCACAAGGGCAAGGGAAGTAGGAACCTTCCAGCTACTTGTATCTTCAGCAACACTCAAAAGGCTTCAGAAACTCCCAATAGAGACCCTAATACCAGATGGCTTCTAGGCACAGGCACAACTTTTAAATCCCAGCTTTCAGTCTCAGTTCCTAGTAGATCTGGGGGCTTTTTGGTAACAAAACTTTGTAAGCAGATTATTATATTGAGGGCAAAAAAAAAAAGTGGGCAAATTTCCCTTGTATTTACCTTAAAATTCTTTGGTACTGAGAATTCTGAAGAGTAGGGACAAAAACTGGATTTAAGGCATTTTTTTTTCAGCCTTATTTGTTCCTCCAAACCCCTAAAGCCCTTATTTCAACATGCTTAAGGTTAGCATACGTTCTCCTGAAGTTAAATATCCTCTTAGCAGCCTACAGCTGCTATGGCATACACAAACAGTTCTGAGGACTCTGGTGCATTAACACTTTATATACCAGTAGGTAAAACACTAAGTACATTCTACACCATCAGGCCACAGACCACTGTGCCTTTACACAATAAAACCCAGCATCAGAGCGGGGACAGCACTGTACCAACCAAAGCCCCTCCTCTTCTTTGCTTGCCTCCCATATAAGTATTATTGATGCTTCCTACTGCTGCGTATGAGCAGGAGGAAGGGCTCAGAATTGGCTTTGTTTGCTACCACAATGCCCTAGAGCAATGCCAGTTGCAGAAGCAAACAACCAGGAGGCTTTGTTGTAGACTCCAAGTATTCAGACTTCTTCTTTGGCTTTACCTTTACTAACATTAACATTTAACATAACGGCATAGCAATGTATGGGTTGAGCACATCCTTCCCTGTTTCTAACAGGGAGCTGAGCAAAGACAAAGCATTTAGTTTTCCCAGGATTTTCATAGGAATCAAAACATTTAGGGGGAAAAAAACCCAACCTGAACCCTCTTAAACACTTTATTAGGCATCATGAAGCAGTAGGAACTCCAGTGTGTTAAAGGTGCTTCATATCTCCTTTAAGTAAGATGAAAACACAATCAATAGCAAGGGTTGTTCTCAGCATGGTATGGATGTTCTTTACATCTTCAGAGTATCATCAGCCTTATATGTAGTGTAGAGGCTATTTATACACTTGGGTGGTAGGGAAGAGAAATGCAATACCCAGCCTCCTTAAGAAGCTCTTTTCTTATTCCTTTGTCAGTTTATTTTAGGCAAGGAAAGGTGGAGTCAGCTCCCAAAGCAGTAAATTTAACAAGCACCTCCTGGCCCAACTGTTAAACCTAAACTGACTCAAGAACAAAGTTCAAGACTACAGAAACTATGCACATGTAATTCGATCGTCTTACTCAACAGAAGCAGACTGAAGTATTAAAGAAGCTGCTCAATGAACAGCACATCCTCTATCAAACTATCCCCTCTTTTCAAGGCTATAGCAGGTTTCCTCCCAGTTGTTGTGAACTTGCTTTAAAAGCACATGGGATTCAAACTACTTCCAGGTTCAGGTGAGGGGATTGGTGCTCGCGATGCTGCTCTGGGAGGGCACACAGCAAGCAGAGGGCTCAGGAGATATATATCTATATATGTGTGTGTATATATATATATATATATATATCAAGCACGATGATATATCTATATGTATCATATATATAGGATATATCAAGCACAATGACTCCTTGGGTAGGTTCTGCTCAACCGCTGTTACCTTCTGCCACTGTTAACTCACTTCTAAACAGTGTCACAGCCACAGGACTTAAGGAGGGATTGGAATAACCAAGATGATCTGATATTTAACTAAGATTCCATTTAAGTGTTGGTGTCCAAATGCAAATCACTGAACAGGCTGCATTAAGCCCTTCCCTCAGTCCCTGCAGCTGGGAGCCAAAGCCAGGGAGAGGCTAAGCAAACAGGGAGGAGAAACAACCTCATCTGGATTGCTAATTCTATTTGCATACCAAACACCACTTTAAACAAAGCCATTTGGATTTCTGTGGGCAAACCTACCTCATTATTCCCTATCTGCTACTTGATGGCTGTGAGCCTTTCAGTGAATACATGCAGGGAGAAAAAGCCTTGAGTGCCACTGAATAAAGGGAAACCCAAAACCAAACTAGGATGGGTTAGTAACATGCAGCTCTTTCATTGCTTATTCGTCTTTGGTCTCTATCTCCCTTAGAATGTGTCCTAAAAACAGGGCTTTTTTAGAGCTGTTGGGAACAAAGGAACTACCTATAAATATACCTTAAAACATAACAAGCAGGAAGAGTCAGAGGTAACAGTGTTTGTGTGCTGACCAAAGTGAATTAGACACAGCCTGCATTTAAGGCCTTTTTAATTTGTTTTTAACTGGATTTCTTCCATAGCTGCAACTCAGAAGTTTTAGGCATGACTACAGCAAACTGAGAGGTCTCCTATTCCCTGCTCTATCCCATTTTCCACCCTTTGTCCGGATATAAGGGTACGAGGGGGAGCGGGGTGTGCTTTGTATCATTTTGTTTGCAATATTACACTATTTCAGCAGCTAAATAAATGGTAAGTGGTTCACACACACCCCCTCCTCTTGTGTCCCCCTCACTGCCTCCTTATGCATCCCAATGGCAGCATCCATGAGCCCATGCTCTGGAAGAGAGCAGGAAAATAAAGAATACACCTGCTGCTCCCTAACACACACCTTTCCTCCAGGAAGAGAAGGAGCCATCACACTGTGTTGAAGGAAGAGGCTGGGCACAGAAAGGGAGAAATCCACATCCCTTATTCCTGTTTTTAATGAGAATATCCCAAGCTTTTCCCTGTTTATACCTCCAGTGGCTCTCTCTGATACAGCTAGTTCTATTCATAGTTACTATGGTCAAACCACTGCTGATCCCAGAAAAACTTAACTTGTTTTGGTGAGTAAATGCTATAGGTGCAACCCGAGAGATCAACTGGGATTCTAACTGTATGTGTGTGAACAGTGTTACCTGCTTCTACTGCGAGGTGCATGTCTCTGCAGAAACACTGTACATGAGAGCCTGTTCCTGTGGAAATGAAACAGTCAATCACTCCTTCAGTACTGTAAGAGTCAATAAGCGAGGCCACTTGAGGCCAGAGCTGTAGCTGTCACACACCCAGTGATACCTAACCAGCCCTTCAGGCTGTTCTCATAAACGTGATAAATCAAAGACAAGTTCATCAGTCACTGAGCTATGCTGTTGCTCACAGCAGACTGTACCTCTTCAGTGAGGGACAGGTATTTGGTGCAGGCAGCTGATGGAAACAGAAGATCACAGAATCTCAGACTGGTTTGGGCTGAAGGGACCTTAAAGCTCATCCAGTTCCAACACCCTGCCACAGGCCAGGACACCTTCCACTAGAGCTCCAAGCCCCTGTGTCCAACCTGGCCTTGAACACTGCCAGAAAGATATCTCTGTCAGCACAAAGCCACCAGGACACTGAATGTATCCCAATCTGCATACAGCTCACCAATGTAAAGCTGTTTCCTAAGGGAGCAGCCCACCTCTACTCCAAAATCACAATGACCTTCTAGTGGTATTTAGTGCTGGGATGAAGCAAGAGTCTCCTCAGCCTGGCCTACAGCATTCATTTGTGTCACAAGGTGTCAGATGCTAACTGGGTGTCTCTAAAGAGAAGCTAAGCTCTGGAACGCTACAAGGGACAGTTCCCTCATGTGAAGCTCCAGGGAAGCAGTGTGAACAGTTTGCAAATGACTGGCTATGCCACATAAATGGTTAAGCTCTCCACAAGGATAAAGTAAAAACAGTGGGATGGGCTTTGTGGCTTATGCAAAACCTGACTGACAACACGCATGAAAACCTGGCCCCATCTGACACTGTGAAGCAACTGCTTTTCTGAACTGCAATGCACTGCCAGTAACTCCCAGCAACAGATGGGGCCCTGTCAGGGACTGAGGAGCTCACAAAGTACAGAAAGAAAGAGCTGGAACGACACACAGCCCGTCACAATCCCATCGCTGTAAAACTCACCGAAACCATTGGCATAGTTTGCCCTTGGGCTATTGGACTAGTAGCTTCCATTTGAAATTCATTTCCAAGAGCATCTGGGCATCCCTCTCACCTTCCCAAGGAGGGCAGGAGGATGGAGCCTCCTGCCTTCTCTGGCATCGCTTCACAGTGCGGGAGGCATCCAAGAGACAGGCCCGGACTTGAGCGGTGGTGGATTCTGAAAGGAACCAAAGGCACTTTGAGAGGAGGGCACATGCCTGGTTAGCACAACTGGAACAGCAATAAGCAATGTGTTCAGTCTCAGGAAAAGCCCTGCCAAGGAATGGGTTGTGCTTAGAAAGCTTTTGAGAGGCTCCCAGCGTGGTACATGAAATGAAACGCCTGAAGAAAATTCCACAGTGAATAAAAGAAGACTGAAAATCATCTAGGGAGGCAAAGGTACACAGCTGAGCACAAAGAGGGCTGGCTCTGGGTCTGCAGTAGCTCTCAGCCCTGGTAGATTGGCTCTCTACTGGTAGCGCTGACAGCACCCCTGTGTTTTAGGGAAGGTCACTGTGGTTATCCCATCTTGACCATCAAGTGACCAAAAGCAAATGTGAGGGAGACTTTGCATAGTGGGGTGACTGTTGCAGCAACAGGCAGGAGCAACACCTTGGCAGTAGTTTATCTTTAAAACCAAACAGCCACTTTTGCATTCACAACTACTACTCCTGTTCATTTCCTATGAATTCTGGAAGCCAGGTAGGAAACTGAAGCCAGTGAATTCACGTGATCTGGCGCCCTGTGGGCAAAATCAGAACTTGGCCCTTGTCACTTACGCTGCTGCTTTTATGTTTTAAATATGTATTTATCATAGACTATCATTTGGAAGAGACCTCAACATTTCTAGGCAAAGCAAGACCTAGTCTAGGTTATCTCAGCACCTAAAGTTCTTGCTCTGGATCCAGTTTTAAAGACATCACACACACACATATACACACATATATATATATATATCTGTGTCTGTGCATGGCAGCGAGCTGCTGAAGTTATTCATTAGATGTTTCACTGATGCAAGGATGAGCTACAGAATCCTAGAATCTTCCAGATGCCCCAGGAAATGCATGTCCTTGTCTAAGGGAGTTACACACTTGTCTCTTAGCTGCCAGAACAGCCTTAGCATCCATCTCCCTGTGCCCCTGTGATGACAAGCAGTCTTGGTTTCTTATTTGCAGCTCCTGAGCATTGGCTCAGACTCTGGCAGTAATTCACCATTGCTGCCCTATGAATTCATGTACCTGTAGCAGTGAATTTCATCCCCTATGATTCCACTGCAGCTTCTTAGTTCTGTAAATGCTCCCTCTGGTTTCTGTGAGTTCTGAGCTGTTTTCTGGTTTCCCCCCTGGCCCAACCTAACATGGACAAAGCAAACAAATGGTCAAAGACTGATCTTGATTTCTTGCTCCCCATCATGTGGCACAAGCTGTGCTAGATGAAAGCTCAGAACTGTTTCATAGCAATGTCAGTCAGACCCTGGGCTTCCAGACGCTGGTTTTGTTGAGGGTCTAACTGTGTCTGAATGCTGGGAATGCTGCAAGCTAGGGCAGTTAGAATTGCTCTGTTGTGAACAAAGGGATGCTGTGTTAGTTTGCAACGGGCTCAGCCTTGGTGCAGAGCAGAAAGCAGATATGTTAGAGTTCTGTGGGCCCAAAAGCAAAGAACCATTCCTGCTGCCTGCGACATTCCAGCCTTTGCTAGTGTGAAACAAATATTGCACACTGCTCAGAGTCACCCCTTTCCCACAGCCACCTAAAAGAGGTTCTGCATCATTAAGAGCTGCAAACACTCTGCACTCAGCAAAGCACACTCCTCTTACTGTAAATGGTCCTCTGCTTTGTTCTTCACGAAGCCATCATCTGCTGCATGAGACAACTCGGAGAGAAGGGGCTTTCAGTGCTCTTGAGAAAGCTCAGCACTTCATGTGCCCCTTGCAGCAAGGCACCTGCAGCAGCAGAGCCACCTGAGGCATGGCCAACTGAGGATTAAATCACCTGAAAAATATGCAAAGGGCTCCTCATGGTGCACACAGAAACAAAGAACCTGGCAAGTCTTTGATCAAACCTGGGAACCAGGACTGGTCACAGTATCCACCTTGGATGTTGTGTCAAGAGCAAGGCATTTCCCTACCTAAATGGGAAAAGCAGGAGGGAAAGGAAGGAGTTCAAACAACAGGAAAGCAGCTTTAGAAACAGCACAATAAAACAAAGGGAAAGGCAGGGAGGGGGTAGGACACTTTAACAACAGCTTTTTCATATATTCTCCCTTTTCCTCAGTACAGTAAGGTCCTGGCTGCATGGCCTGACCCATCAGAAAGAAGCAGAGCATGGCACAGCACACAGTTCAGCTCTGCCCCAGCTTCACCAGCCCTCTGGGGTCACCTCTACCTCATCAGCAACAACCTTTCCCCCCTACCTCCAACGCAGTGAAGTCATCCCTCCTCCAGCTTAGTGTCCTACAGCCTCCAGTGCTCTCTGCTGATGCTCTGTTCAATGTCAGGGATGAGACACAAGGGTGGACTGGCCTCAAATCTGATCTCCATGGCAAGCTCCTGTGTTCCTGCTGGTGGAAGATAGATTGCTAATGAGGTGTGAGGAGGTGAACAGAACTCACCTGCAAGTGTGGAGGTGTAAACTGGGATTTAGCTGATCTCAGCTGCTCTGCTGTCCTGTTGTGCTACCAGAAACACCTGGGGGAAGGGGATGGGTCAGTCTCTTCGTAATACCTAGGGTTTCTGCGACAGATGACATGAAATGGGCTCATGTGCTGAACCTCCCACAGGCGTTGGGGGTTTTTAGTGGCCTTGGTACAAAACTATGACAGTAACCAGCCAAAACCCTTGGATTTCATGTTTGAATCCAGTGGGCTCACCTAACTGCACAGCTTTGTGTCAGAATTGGGGCTTAATCATTAATTTCCACATGTCTATGGCCTGCTGTGCAGGGGGAGACAAGGCCAGACTAATAAGCTTCTCTGGGAAAGCTGCTGTATGTTGTACTGCTTCCTATTGTTTCCCTGTGGTACTGAAATAAAACCTACACACACCACAATCAAGCTGCAGCTCAGTTCCGGATGGAGACCACATAGTTCACTAGTGGGAGGCCCAAGCATGTGTTGTTCAACAAACATATCCAATAATTATCTGTTCTTGTCCACAACATGTAAAAACTGGGGTTTTCCCTTGTACAGGTGGGAAAACTGAAGTCTAGACAAGTTTTCCTGTCTCCTGCAGTGGCTTTCTTGCAGGGCCAAGGGGAGATGATGCTTTCTGACCCCTACAACCCTGCTGCACACTCAAGAACATCACAGAATAGTCCAGGTTGGAAGGGACCTCATTCAGTTCTAACCCCCTGCAATGAGCAGGGGTATCTTCATCTAGATCAGTTTGCTCAGAACCACATCCAACCTAGCCCTGAATGCGTCAGGGATGGTGTATCCACCACCTCTCTGGGCAACCTGTGTCAATGCTTCAGCACCCTCCTTGTATAAAACAGCATGCACAGTCCCTTCCAGGCTGCCTCCACAAGGCAGGTTTATTCCTCCTAGATCATGCTGTGACCCCCCTGCAAGAAACACTGCTCCCATTGGAAAGCAGCAATGGCAAGCTAGGAAAAACCTGCTTGGAACTGACCTCCAGAGATACTTTGGGAATTAGCTTATGTAAGGGTGGGAGCAGCCTCCAAACGTGATTAAAACATTGTTCTCTGAGAGACGTGTTGTTCTGCCCCTCCAGTTAGCTGTGGGAAAGGGCACTGGGAGCACACACAGCACCAGCACATGAGTCACTGCTCAAAAATCCTTCAATGAAAGAGATTGTGCAGATAGTGCTGCTCTCCCACGAGAGGGCTGGAGCTGGTACCCAGCCCTGAGTGCTGGGTTTGGCTCAGTGGCTTTGGGATGGAACAGTGCTGCTCACCTGAACTCCGGGATGATCAGGAGCAGGAGCTGCTAAAGCATCTCTCATAAGCCACTGAAACAGTAGTTTTCATCCTCAACTTGCATCTATTCAGAGAGAGAAGCATTAAAAAGCATTCCTGCAGTAGAGCTGAGATTGGTTTCTTCAGCAAGCAAACATTAGCACTTTTATGTAGCTCGCTTCCTTCCAGAGGATGGTTTGTGACACCAATCTCTGCTTACAAAAACTGAGGGAATTCCAGACCCTCTGAGACCTGCTGTCTCCCTGCAGCATGCGTGACATCAGTTCTCTATTCCATGCTTTTCCTGGCTGTTGAATAACAAGGCTCCATTGCTTGACTCAAGGTTCTGCATAAGTAATGATGTAGAACATTATTTTTTGAAGGAATTTTCCATGGTTTAATATTTGACTTTTTACTGGGCTTTGTTGGATACAGCGCTCCTTGGATTTCATGAGCACCTTGAAAAAGAATTATAACCTGATTATTGCATCTTCTAGCAAGGAAATAGATGTCTTATATAAATCTTGATATATCTTATAGTCAAGGGACTAGCTTGTTATAGTTGTATTTCACATGGATCCCATAAGGTCTTCAGAAACATGAATCCAAAAGGGCTTTTCACATCAAAACTTTCCAGCTTTACGCACTTAAACAAGAGACCAAATGCAGCAGCAAGCTGTCCCACTGCCTGATTCCCAAACCTGATGCCTCAAATGGCACCTGTAAAGATGATCAAGTCGCCGAAAGCCTTTGAAGAGTGAATTAAACACGCTCTGTCTCCAACTGTAGCTGTGTTGGCAGCCCACATTCTTCTCTATTGCAGTTTTTCCAAGCCTGGTTTTCCAGGATAATAAGGATTACACAGGCACTTTGCCATTGCTTACTCTAATGACTTTTTAAGCTATTGGTGAAGTTCTACAAACCTCAGTTTTTAGAGGCCTTTACATTCATGTAACAAAGCAGAATAGAATAGGTAGAAGAGGGAGAAGTGATGAATGCCCCTTCCTCATCCCATGCAAAGGAAAACCTCTGTTGTTCTTTGAATTACATGCTCAGCACTGGAGATTCAAACAGAAAAGGGTGGAAAAATAGCATCCAAAGTGCATTTAAAAAGGGAAACAGGGCAAATACACAGTTGAGTCTTTTCTGGTAATTCCCTATGGAATATCTCATTTCACTGTACGCAAAGCAACACATACGGGCATTTTGAGTGAAGGAAACTCCTCTCTTAGCCCCGTACCTGTCAACCTCTCCCCTTCTCCAACAATTAGGCAATATTTCCTAGAGGGTGTAACATTTGCTGAAGGTATTTGCAGTCGCAGGTTGCAACACTGCCATCCTCCCACTCCGAGCTGCTCTCTATATGACCAGAGAGATTAAGGTTGGGAGGGTTGGCTGTGAGAGGTAATCCAGGAAGGCTGAAGGTAAGGCAAGGTCAGGATCCCGACTGGCTCCGTGTGAGCACTGGAGCTAATCAGAGGCATTGTGTATGAACAGGAAAATAGAATGTTCCTGAAGGTCACCGTGACCGGCAGGGAGGAGTGCCAGGGCATTCACACCGGCTTGGCACGGCCACCCTGGAGGATGCAGGGCCAACAGAGAGGCTGAATGGAAGCCAAATTCCACCTCCCATCAATGTTTCTCATCCCTTTTAGTCTGGGGGTGATAGGGGAGTTACCACATAAGAAAACACAGGCCCAGCTCTCTCAGCCTGTTTCCAGAGCAGAGCTGCTCCAGCCTTCAGAGCATCTCCATGGCCTCACTCCAGCAGCTCCACATCCCTCTTGTGCTGGGGCCACAAAACTGAACACAATACTCCAGGAAAACTGGAGTGCATTTCCAGCACCAGAAACCCCTTGCGTGACCAGCACCAGTCTCCAGGCAGCTGTTGCCAGGGGATCAGCCTGTGTTTAAAGCACTGAAGGTTTTCTGACCCTCCCAGACAGGCACGGTAGACTCGGAATAAAGCAGAAGCAATCTGAGTTGCTGAGCCTCTGCTTGCTGCTGTGGATGCACTGTGCTTCTATCCATGAAGTAAGGCAGGCTGTACCCTCCACAGGATGTTTTGCTTCTTTAGAAGCAATCTGTGGCCTGACTAGAAGTCAAGTGCAAGTTCTCTGAAGGCAGACGAGGTACAGTTAGAGCTCTGCTAAAGTGTTTAGGAACTGCCAAGCAAAGGTTAGAATTTCCACACCTTCTTGTTGGCTTAAGATGTAGTTTTAGCCCCTGAAAGAGGGGGCGAAAAGGCATGAAGTTGTGATTGTAGAGAATACCTCTAATCTCCATGAAGATACGGGGCAGAGGGGTTTATCAGTAAGATGCTGAAGCTATTCTGTGTCATCTCATGACAGCAGTGCTGGCTTACACACTGAACAGCTATTTGCATCTCCAGTATGATACTTGGATTGAAGGTTCCAGGCCCTTACTCCAAACATGAATCAGCAAATCCTGAAAGCCTCAGTTCTCATCAGATCACCAAAACTGGGATCACCAACCTGCTGTCATCAGATATCCTTTGGTAAAAACACTGAGCTGCTTTGAGGTGTTGCAGAACTACCCCTCCAGACAAGGAAGATGATGCCTAAAATGTTCTTCTCTGATATCAAAGGCTTTACATAAATTCTGGATGCAGAAGCACCATCACTGTTTGTATTAGTGCCTGTTACTGAGAAAGTGCTACAGAGACATCATTAAACAGAAAGACATAAGGATGATGATCCTTTTGCAGGCCAGGCTGAGATGGCCTTTGTGCAAGATGCAAGGAAACTACCAACAGGCTGGATCCTTATCAGCTATCAGAGGTGAATATTGTATCATGGTTTAGCTATTGATTGTACTAAGTCTTATGACCAGGTTCTCATCTGATGCCAGTTACCTCTTCTTATACCACCCATAGAGCATGAATTCCCCACGTACTGCACATAATTTACACCATTTTCATTTAAACCCTGAGAAAATATAAGCCCATCTCTTTGCTTCTAAAATAGTTCAAGACCAAAATTACTGATATTGGCTGACAAATACCTAATGAAATTAAATTATTTCATACCAACATTTTGACTGTTTCATTGAAAACATGAAGAGAAACACAAGCCATCCATTAGCAAGCAGCTCCTTTGAAAAGCAACCATTGCTTTGGAGGGAGAATTTGGCTGAAATGCCCCAAATCTTTCAATGCCCAAACCAAGAGCATTATTTCTGTGACACGTTTGTTGTTGAGCTCAGCTCTGTGCTTTGGCAATAAGAAATAGATGTATTTGTTTCAAATGAAAACCTTTTTAGTACAGAGGTAATCTCTAGGTCTTGTCTTTAGGAAGATGTTTAGCTCATTTGGTGTTCTTAAATGCAAATTGCAGCTACATTCTGGGGAAATCAGTCAGCTTCTACACTGTTAAACCTTCCTTTACGTGGAAAAAGGAAGGTCTGTTCTTCTAAACTCTGCTTTGTTCCCTTTGGTACCAAATGACACAAAGCAGCCTGCGTCTCCCTGCCCGTGTTCATCCCCATGGGCACTGAAAGCAGAGCTGAGATAGGAGCTGCTGGTACACATGCTGCCAACATGCAATTCCCAAAGAAATTAATGAGCCAGATTCAGGATTGTCTCAAGCAATGTAATTCACTGGTGACGCCCGCTGTGAAGATAACATCTGTGGGGGCTCTCTGGAAGGGAATCGTGCTGTTTCATTCCATGCTGCTAGTCACTGTGACAAGTTAAAGACTGTTTCCCCAATGGGTCTTCCCCCTCCCCACCACAAACACCTTCTGGAAAGAGAAACAGCCCAGAGCTGAGTTCAGATGCACAAACTCAGCCTCTGGAATACCTACTCCTCTCTGGTGATGAAGTGTGCAAGCCAAGCCACTCTGTTCTTTCCTAAGAGCTCAGGTCCCAGGAAGCATCTAATCCCATCTCTGATAAACAAGGGAAAAGGCCCTTGCCTCAAATTTATGCAATCAGGCAACAGGAATACGCCCTGCATCCCTGTTTCTCCTTACCCTGATGCAAAACACACAAGCAAATGAAGACTTAAGAGGGCTCTCGCTTAAATAATACGTGTCAAAAGATTCAGTGAAACGAAGATTCATCTTGAATACTGGGAGATTCTATAATTAGACAGAAGAGATGATAAAAGGCTCCCACCCCATGGGTCTCTGTATAAAGATTAGAGAGGGAGAGACAAGTACGTGTTCAGACTAATGGAAGAATACCTTACCAGCACTTCAATCACTGCAGGATATTTCACGTGTCCATGTCTCGGGATAAATGGGACTGTTTAAAATTGGTTAATCTCTTAGCAATCCAGGCAAGGAGGGAAGTGGTAAAAGAGCCCAAAGCTCTGGCAGGATCTAGGAACAAGCAATTAAACGTTAAAAATAGAGAAATCAATATTTACATTCCCATATCAAAGAATAACAAGAGCAGCACTTTAACACCCCGTGTTAAGGCAGAGGAGAGAGACCAACCCCACTGGTGGAAGATACCAGTAGCTGGAGGGGTGGGACTGCTTCATGGTACAACCTTTGCATAACAAGCTCTGGGTTTAGGAAGCAGCTGAGCTGCACTGCTTTCCTGCATGGCTTTTTATTTCCCTGATGCTTATGCATAATGCATTAACCTGCCTTCAAACAGCCTGGCCAAAAATTGGCTGAGTCGCCAATGACAGCCTCTTCTAGAGCAGGACAGAGCGTGTTTTTGTTTGGTCTGGTGCTCTGATGGCAAAAGGAGAGCGACACAAGAGCCAGGCACTGCTCCCTGCTGGAGATCCTCTTCAATGCAACTGTCCCACCATCCTGCAGGGAGCAACTGGAGTCTGCAGCTGGATGTTGACTGTGGAAAAAGCTCGTTCCAGTTGGTTACAAGACATTGCTGAGGCAGGGTTCTCCATCGTGGACGCTGTGCCCTGGCTTGTCTGAACTGGTTGTTTAGTGTGCTCTTTTGGTTTGTTTTGGTTTGAATTTAAGGAGGAACTTCAAGGCAGGAGTCCAGGGATTAGCACTGATAATGCTGCAGTGTGTAACAACACTGAGGCTTTTAGTGGTAGAACCTTTTGGTGCCAAGGATTACGTGAAGCAGGAATTTACAGCAAGTCTTGCCTCAAAGAATTTGCAATCTACTTCCTTTATTCCAAAGCAAAGTGAACCAGGTGTGGGAGCCTGCTGGGAAATCCAATAATTGGGCACAGAGTTCACTGTGCACTGCACCTGTGCTCATAGGTGGAGTGCAGCAAAGACATAAAACAACTGCTTGTAAAATAAGAGAGATAACAGCATCCAATACCTTTGTTCCACTTATGGCAAAGGAGTTTTGCCATTGAGATAGAAGTTTTACTCATGTAGCCACAGGATGTACTACAATAACGATAAAAGAACAGTCTGAGGAGGAGGTGACTCCAGTTTCCTGCTCCTCCTTCCCTGCCACCACCTAATTCCATGGGAACAGAACTAGGACAGGGGGGACTTTTTCTTCTATTCACGTGTTGTTCCAAAAAGTTTGGGGCATGGCCAAGTTGAAGAGACAACAGAGGCATAGCTTCTGGAAGTATTAAACCTTTGTATGTTTTCCATAAGTCTGGAGAAGAGGGTATTGATATCCCAAATATACATCATAAAGCACAGGGTTAGACCTCTGGGCCTGTATCTCTGTATGGGTGAGATGGTACTTGAGTTGTTTCAGCTACTTTAGAACCCGATTGTAGACTGCAGCAGAGAATTGTCTGTGCTGTATGAAGAACATCAGGGACCTGAAATACAGACAAAGCATGAAGGAAAAGTGATGAAGTCTCATTTTGCCTTGTGAAAGAAAAGCTTTTGCTATGTATTATAGAGAAAAAACACTTGACAGGAAGGATTTGGAAGTGATGCTTTTGGTTTAGTTTATCCTTCCTAGAAAGCCAAGAAGTTGGAAGATCTTCACAACTGCTAAAGCTAGATACAAGCTCTGACATTCTCCACCCAACAGCACTTGTTAGGCAGATCCATTCACTTTATACTTAAAAAGTATTATTATCCTCTACAAATTCACCAGCTTTTGAGCCCTGGGGCTTTAGAATAAGCACCAGAACCCCTGCAAGACTGAACTGATTAGCTACCAGTTTGAAGTTTCCCATTCCCACCCCTCCAGTCATTGTCACACCAGTTCACATGTGCCACCCCACTTTGTGCTGCCTGTCAGGGGACCTCAGAGCTGTCACATCATGGGCTTGTCAAAATTCCTATAGGCTTTACAGTTGAAAGAGAATCTGTTTCAATGCATAGTGTATGGCTAATGCCTTTTTGGAGGCTCTTCTTGGTCTTCTCCCTTTGTACCTCCACACCTCTCTAGACCTTGCAGTCTGCCAGACTCTGCCATAGCCACCGCCAGCTTTCCATCTGGAATGACTTGTACTCAGCTCATGCAATGGCTATAAACCCAACTGAAGCAGTTACCTTACAGTGTCTTCTACCAGCTGCTTCCTAGAGATGGATTTTATGAAGAAGATCCCAGCTCATCTGAAGTTTCTCCATTTCCAATTTTGCAGCTACTTTTCAAGTGCAGCTTGAGAAAGCCAAGAATGATGAGATCAGAACACGGGGTAAGGCAAACCCTCAAGAAAAACAGCCAAAAGAAGAGATCCTGAAAGCACCAGGACCATATTTTTATATCAGTGGATCTAACGGAGCTAGGCTGTAAGTAGGTCCTCCCAGCAGATTCATATGAACAGTAGTATGACCAGATATGAAGTGATGCAGTATTATCCATTAAATAACTTTCCTTTGATTTCCTATCTTTTTGGAGGGTTAAACCTGGGGAACCATTTAAAGATAAATCAAATAGAAAGTACCCATAGGAAGGCCACTAGTGGTGAAGCAGCTAACTGCATCTTTGCAAGGGAATGAAGTACTTCTATTTGTTTAATGAGAGCTCCTCTGTTTGAGCTGTGCAAAAATCACTTTGCTACACCATGTAGGAAAGCTGCTAGCATCACCACTAGAGCTAGCAACCCCTGTTGTTGATCAACATTCTGTTGTGCTAAATGCAGAGCAAGCAAAAAAGAAGAGATTCCTGCCCAAGAAAAACTGTCACATCAGAAGCTCCATGCCTTCCTTTCTGAGCTCTTTCCAGCACGTTGGCATTCTTCTCTGGATGTTGTCACCACCAAGCACCACAGAATCTCTGCTGCAAGCAGCACTTCTTTGCTATGTTTCCATAGGCTACAAACAGCTTTTTCTATTGCTGTTTGTCATCTCTCCCTACACTCCTCAGCAGAGAAGCTCCTTATTAAGACTGGACTCTGAACATTTCTATTCCATAGGTACCAGCTATATCCTAATTGGAAAAACCCTGCTGAAATGGTACAAGGTCTCACTAGAGCTGCTGAATCATAATGTTCTTTAGCATCCTCAGCTACTCCCCCGGCCCCTCTCAAGTTCAGACCAACAGGTCCACTAGCAGCAGTTCTAATGAATGCTTTCCACCTTATCCCCCAACCCAGGGCCTCCTGGGTATATTAGGTCAGACTGCCATGGAAAATTATTAGGAGTTCAAGGGATATGAGCTAAGTAAGTATTTGTTATTAGAAGGGAGGATCCTCTTCTATTTTGTTTTCCTTATGCAGTGTGAGCATCTATTGCCAGCTAAGAGGCTGGCAGCGTATCTATGACACACAAGAGAGGATTATGCACTGAAATGGTGTGAAATCAAGTGCCAGGAGACCTATTACCATTTCAAAGAAGGTAAAGGTGCCTGTGGGCCCTGAGCAGGAGAGGGTGGTGGGAAAAACTTGGGAATGCTGGAGTTGTGATTCCCAGGGCAAAGGAGGTCACCTGAGGGTAGGAGAAACAGGGAACCTCGACTTCCTGACAGAGTTTGGAGGGGACATCAGAGATTGCAATGGTGATTAAAGGGTTATTCAAGGAAACAGCCTTGGGAGAAAGGATGCCATTGAAATGAACTAAGGAGAGTAAAATGAGCAGTAGAGATTTAAACACAAACCATCAGTCATGTTAGAAACAGTCCTCCCTCCTCCTCAGGCTTGTTGAATTGCTCTTTACCTTTGGTCTGATAGGACCATCCTGACTCCCCAGCTTTCCCACCATTAAAGCATAAACCCAAGGTCTCCCAAAGCAACACCTCTGCCTGGCACCCTCAGAGCAGTACTTTGCACAACAAACACAAACTCCCTAAGCACAGCCCCTGGGGCAATTCTTTTACTCCTGGGGAGCTGGTCAGGACCTGTGCCCTGGCAAGCCTGAGCACCACAGCACATTGCTGCAGGCTTCTCTGTGGTAGAAAGAGTGGTACCACTGCCCTGCCAGTCCATGTACAGCAGCCACCTTTCCCTTTTCCATCCTACCAGCTCTCCTGGCAGCTGTTTGTCAGGCTGCCCCACGACAGCAGTTGGCAGTGCAGAAGGGGTATGTTTCAGTGCAATTCTGCAGCTGGAATGCTGTGACAGCAGTGGCACCGTTGAGTGAGCAAGGGATGTGCTTACCTTTGTCTGGAAGCTTAAGAATGGTTTCAAAAGGCCAGATGCTATGGGTCTATATATAAAGCCTTGTGGAAAGCAATTTAAATGAGATATAATCCCAGCTTCTTATACAAAGCTGGCATTTTACAAGCGATACAGATGCAGTATCTGTTCCCTGCAGTATAATAAAGCCTCCCAAATACCTTCTTAACTCTGCTTCAATGCTGCAAAATCTAGACCTCAATCAATAGGCAGTGGCTACCAGTCACTAACATTTTGGGTTGGGGTGGGTTTACATTTCATTCTTTGCATGAATTAACTATGCAGGTTCTTCTTTGTGTACTATATACACTAAAAGCCACTATTAGAATGTTTGTAGAAAGCAGCAGCAGGAAAAGGAAGGGAAAAATAAGGCAGCAGAAGTCATGAGAAGAGTTTCAGCAACTCAACACTACTTGTGTTCTGTTAACTCCACTTCCCTGTGCCTCAGTGTCCCTCCCTTAGCTGAGGAATGCATTATAATTAAATCACTTCAGTGCTCTGAGATGAGTGAATAAACCTTTCAAAGAGGAATGCAAGAGAGATCAATTATCCCAGGAGCTGCACTTCCCAGCTGCCTTTGGGGTGCACAGCTAGGCATGCAGGGCTCTCTAAACTTCATGGTGCCCGGCCAGGCAGGGCATTGTCATGACAGTGTGATACAGTCGTGATAACACTGTAGTACTGGCATGGCAAAAGCACATTTTGCCATGGAGTGATCACTGCATGTCCTGGCAAAGTGGTGATACCAGTTCCTCACACTGACCCCGTGTCATATCCCTGACATTCTGCTCTCCTGGCTTGGCATCTTTATCTTGCAAAAGAACACAGCACACACAGCAACCTTTCCAAGGGCTTCCCTGGCCAAAGCAAGCAATGTTCTCTGTTTCCATTCATCCACACATGTCTTCTTGTTACAAAGGAATGGTTGGCTTCATTGCAAAGGGTAAGAGAGACTTGTAAGATGATGATCTTACAGGCTAGACTGTGTTTATGCAGCAGCCATTGCATGGAGCAAAACAACATCTGCCTAAGAAAACCAGACCAAGGGCCTCAGTTAGACCAAAATGTGGTCTCTGACATGGACAAGTGCTAGGGGAGAAAGTGGTTGGACCCTATCTTAGATCCCAT